CTATAAAATGGTATCTTAAAGGCATCCTCATCAACATGATCATTATCATTATGTGCATTGGTTTTAGTGTAGTGATGAATAAACTCATCCTCCAAAATCAAATTACATATCAATTATTGTTTATTATCAAAATAAGGCTAAAATTTGATATAAAAAGTAGTATTGAAAAATGTACATACAAAAATGTTTTTCACTTTGTCATTGACCAATTCTCTAGTCTTTTTCTTTCTTTCTTTTTTTGTCTTCTATTATACCAAATGTTCGTGGAAACTTGCTTATGTTGCAAATTCTGCATGATTAATATTACAAGTATAAAATTCTGTTGAAGGAAATTAATAAAGAAAAAAATACAATTTAGATAATTACCATTCTATCAATGGAAAACATCCATTATGTTAAGCTACTCAGTACATAACTATCATCTTGCGTTAACAACTATTTAGGATAACACACTATTGAGCATTGTTTTAGAATAATTTATTCAATAACTGTTATAAAATTGTTCTATAGACTTATTGGAACAATTTATGATCATTGTTTATTTTAATTTTAGGTTATATATGATAAATGTAGTTTATTAATTTTCAAGAACAATTTTAATTTATTGTTTATAGAAAAGATATAAAATTTATATCATTGTCGATATTTACGACCAAATTTTTGGATGGTTAGTTCGGTGGCTAAATAACATTTGTTACAATTTAACAATTGAATCTATTTTTTAAAATTTGCGACCGAATTTGTTGGCTAATTTTTTTTTAATTATAGTTTAATATATCAGTCGCTAATTTATTCTTTAATAGCTACATAATAATTTTTATTAGCAAATTTGGTGGCTAATTGCTACAAATTTAGTTCAGTTGCAAAAGTCGATCTTTAATAGCCATTAATTTTGTTTGGTTGTAAAATTTGGTAGCTACTTGCTATGAATTTTATTAAATTGCTAAATTCAGCATCTAATTGGCAGAAATTTTTTTCGGTTGCTGAATTCAGACGCTAATTGCTACATTTTTTATTCCAATGCTAATCGATTATTTTCTAGTTATGTAAAAGTAGAAAATGACTTAGAAAAATTACCATTCCAGTTCATACACATTAAAGATGAGGAAATACAATAATATATAAGCTCTATAACATTAGTGCTAAAACCAGCTAAATAAAAAGTGTGTTTAACAAAATTCTAATTTAACCTAAAATTCTATTTTTTTTTTCCAAATCAAGCTTCATGATCATAAACAAGACTCCTTTTTAAGAGTTTTGAAAGAATGAACAATTTATAGTAATATAGCATAATTATCAATTCCCTACCTATTTGGGATAAAACTTATTTGGATTTCAGAAATTAGATAAGAAAGAGACTTTTTTAATCTATTAGCTAAAATTTTTGTCATAATTATATAACTCACATTACAAAGAAAAATAAGTTTAAATTGATGAAAAAAGTCAAGATGATCAACTTTAGCAACCAAGATGATGACAATTTGATTAATTGTTTTAATTTCCTTAAAATTCTTAAAAATATTTTCAACAAATTTAAAAATGAAAACATGAAGAATATCCTTTTGAGACTTAAAAAATAAAGCATACAATCCATGTAAATCAAGGGAATTTAAAGTTTAAACAAAGTAATTTCATCTTTTTAATAGAAATTGAACTATTAATTCTCTTTATGTCATCGGGGAGAAAGAATTTAAATTATCCAAACTAGATAAGACTCCATATACATGTTTCTAAAAAAGTTAACTACCATATTTTAACAAGTAGAATCATATTTCTAAGACCTATCACTATTTTTAAGAATTTCAATTCTACTGTGTTATCTGCGAAAGACATCTGCTTATGGAAACAATTAGTGTTTCTATCTCCTATTTTGAACCAATTATACCTAAATTGATGAAATCAATACACCTCTTCTTGGTCAAGGATCTATTCATATTCTAACCAAAGATTAGCTGTAAGATTGGATAGGAAAACATTTACTCCACTAGAAAGTTTACGAACATCATTAATTCAATTAAATATATGTCTATTGTGGTTAAAAATATTACAAAATTTATGTTTATTCTAATTAGAAATGTTATTCATAAATCTATTAATGTTTTTAGTCCAAGAACAATTATTAGCTGAGTTCTTAGCTTGATTAGGAAAATCACTATGAGATAGTTAATGAGTGAAACATTTAAATTAAAATAAGTATTCCTATCTATTTAGAGAATTAACTCTCAATTACAGAGCAACATGATCAAATTTTAGCATAACCATATGAATAAGAGAACTTGATGGAAACCTATCCTCCACAAATCATTAGTAACAGTTATGTCTAGTCTTTCCTTCAAGGCACTTCGCTGTCAGGTATAGGAAACACCTTTAAAGCCTAAATCATTAAGGTCATATGCATCAAGGCAAGTAACAAACTACCTTATGTTATTAAAATTAACTAAAAACCCCCCTACTTTCTCACTTTCAAATAATGTAAAATTAAAATTTTTAGCTACATACCAAGGGATATTCAATGCTTAACTAACAGAAGCCAACTCATCCCATAACATATTACTACGGTGTTCTTGGGAATTAGCATAGATGACTGACAACAACCAAGAATCATTCATATTCAAAACTATCTTAAAGTGCATAGCATACTTGGGGTAGAGAGAACATAAATATTTAATTTTTTTTGTATTTCAAATGCACTAAATAACCCTAAAGAAACCAATTGCATCAACTTTGGCAACTCTATGTAAGTTAATTTTTTTTAAGATAGGCTCAACTTTATCTTTACTAACTCTAGGTTCTAAAATAGAAATAAAATCCAATTTGTACATAGTGATTAAAACATTCACTAATTTATAAAAAAAAAATTCCCTAACTCCTCTACAATTTCATAATATAAAATTTATTAATTGGAAGGTATGATTAGATTGCATAGCTACTTGAAGGTAATATCTTGAGAAACATTTTGAACTACCATGCTAGTCGTATTATCAATATTTCTTATGGTAGTCAAGATCTAGTTTAAATCACGAGAAATATCACTAGGAGGTTGATATTGATTAAGGAAGAATATTGAACTTTTCCTCTCGTGTAAACCTAAAATATTTATCATAGAACTCCATCTTTATATTTTTTATAAATTTCATTTTGAAATATAGATATTATTCTTATACCAACCTTCTCATTACTCTTTTTCTCCTCCATATTAGAACTAGATAAAGAAATATTTTTATTCAAATTGTTCCTTAGCTTAGGACTATCCAACTTAAGCAAAGAAGTGTGAACAGGTGAATAAGTCTTAGAATTATTTAAAAATTTAGAATCTCCAATTTTCATAATATATAACTAAACTTTATGGCTTGCCTTATTAGACCGAGGTTGTAGGAAATTATGATTCAAGTGTTTGTTATCATGATGACTACGAACCTTCTTAGCTTGAAGCTTAAATTCTACATATTTTTTTAACTAAACTATTATTTAAAATTTTAAATCTTGACCATAAACTCTTTCTATTATGTATCTCCTTAATTTTATTCTAACCTATTTTTTTCTTTAGGAGTCTTTTGACCAACATCCAAGGCCTATACACCTGTTGGTCACCAGTTTTATAAGTGTTTAAAGTGTTTTCATTCATTTTCATATATTCAATTTTAGTTTTTCTTTGAGTATCATTCTTATTTTTCACTAAATCTTGATTATTCAAGGTCCCAATACTTCCTTATTGTTTGCCATAAGAACAATTATCAAATTTATGGCCATACTTACCACAAGAGAAATAAATTAAGTGTAGTCCTTAATACTCAAAATTAAAATATTGACCCAAAGCTTTAGTTGAAGGTATAAACTTTTTTTTAAGATTAATTACAATATAAATTCAACCAAATCTATCCTTAGACTAGATAATTATGTGTGAATTAATTTTAAGCATTATTCCTAATATTGATCCAATTTATCAAAAAAAAAATTGATTATATAATTTAAATAAGAAAAAAATTGCGTTAAAATAAATTAAATAATAACTTGTAATATCTTTACAGGTTAATTATTCATCCTTTTTCGTGAAAATAATATATTTACAATATGGAAACATTATTAAAGAAAATATTTAAAAATCTATTTTAAAACCACATAGGAACTATGAAAATGTCACTTTGAAATTAATTATTTGAGAATAAGTTTCTATAATACATCCTAAAAATTTTAGGCTGAAAGCCCTAAACATCTCATTATGCAACTATGCCACCAAGGTTCTACCCCTCACATGTTGGAAGTCAGTGATTGATTGCTAACACAGCCTTTCCCTTTGCTTGAACAATGCTGCGACAAAATGTGGGTTCGACCCAGTAGCCAATAGGCGTTCGAATTTCATAAATTATATATTATTTATACCTAGGTGCTACCCAAAGAATCAAAATTATAGCTACATAATTTTGCTAATTATGATTGAAGTTTTGTCCTATGATAAGATTTGGGAAGACAAGACAGCTCCATTGATTTGTACATTTCTTTTTGGTGCTTGCGGAAAGGAACTTATCAAACCACCACGCAATGGTCTAAACAGTCACTCGGTCAAAGTGTCCAATTGAATTGCTGACAGGGCACACTGTAGTAAAGCAACGTCCGTATGATGACAGGACAATAATAGGATTTGATTTTTTTTACCTTAAAATAAATATTACTTTTTTAACTTTGAGAAATATCATAATTAATAAAATAAAAATATACATATATTAAAACTTTTGATAATGACTTTTTAAGTATAAAGTGAATTAAAAATATAAAAAAAAACTAATGATATGATTAAAAGAGTTTATTTTTCTTTTGAGAAATATATTTCTTAAAAAAATATGAGAACAATAAAGATAATAACAAAAAAATGCCGCAAATATATATATATCTCAATACTAATAACTCTACCTCTTTTTTTTTGTTCTATTATACTCCCTCATTTAAAAAGTAAAAAGACAAAATGTACTTACACAAACAATACACTAGTCCTTATTCCCCCTCTTTCACCACTTCCATCCTATAAAATATTTAACAGCTTCTATGTGACTGGTCACTTCTTGCTTAAAGCAAGAAATGTGTTGATTCCGTTCCTTAAATCTCCCATTTGTCACTCAAGATCCACGTTATCTTTTTGGCATCCTTTATGCTTTTTTTTTTTTTTTTTTTTTCATTTTCCCTATCTATTTTTCTCTTCCTTGATTGGTATTCCCTTGACGGGGGCTCCTTCCATAAAACACACAACATCTTTTTTAAGAAAAGCATCCTAGGAATGAAGGTAAAAATCCCAACTCATAATAGCTATTCTCCAAAGGATTTGTTTAGCTTCCTCCTTTTAGCATCAGGGCTATTATTATGTGAAGAATTTGCACATGAAGCAGCATTTGTGTCATCACTTTTGTAGCTGAAGCATACAGCTTCCAACACCCCTATTGGACTTTGGGGCACACAAGGTACAGAAATAGAAACAGAAGCAATAGTGTCCTTAGCAGAACCACGATTTGGTGACAGCTCTTTGATCATATTAATACACTTCAAAACTCTCTCCTGCCAAAACAAATAAAACAATGTAAGTATTAATTAAACCATGGCAACAATTAATTGCATTTGATCATTTACAAGTAATCAACTTAAAATGATAAGGCTCAAAAAGGAAAAATCATCATTTATATTTCACTTTTTTTTATTGTAATTGGACCACTATCTTTACCTTTTCTACAAGCTGAATCAGAACAGAAATTGCTTTCTCAGTGTGAACTGTTTGAGCTTCCCCCACCACAGATATTGCCACTGCTGCTGCAATCTCTGAGGGTCTGAACTCTAAGAAGTCAATTCCTGCATTGGATTCCCACTCTCCAAATTATCATCTTTAGTTCTTTCTTATCATATTTATTATTGCTGCAAAGATTAGTAACAGACAGGTACCTCTTACAGTACGCAGTATAAGTTGGACTGATTTCAAAATTGAAGCTCCTATTGGACTTTGATCATCATTGATCTTGCAAAGGAAGTAATCAATGAAGGAAAAAGGGGTAATTGCTTGCATTCTCCACCTCAATGTGCTCATTATCAGAAGCTCCATTCTCTGTATTGTTTTAGCTTCAAATACATACTTAGATTCAGCTATCTGTAGTAGTAACAAAAAATTGATCAGCACATGTAAATTCAAGGACATTTCTGATTTGATTAAGATGTTTAAACTACTAAGCATTAAAATATTATAGTATTTTACCTGCAAATCAAGACACAAAGGAACTTCAGTCTCTTCTATTTTGGCTGCCAGTGATAAGCATGCTACAGCCAACAACTGCATTGTCCAAGCTCTTTGCTTCTGCAGGAACAAAGATCAGATCAACAAAACCAATGGAGAAAATAAGGGGAAAAAACAGTTTTTCTTTTTTAACTGACTTACTGGTAATTCATAAGCAGAAAGGAAGCGATCCAAATAGTTTATGGATAGATATACACAGATGGGTCCAAAACCAAAGTACTCTCGGACCTATAAAACAGGTACATTCACTCTTTAGTTAGACCATAGCAAAGGGAGATCAATCCTTTCATTTGTCAAAGAACAAATGGCTTCACACTGATGCAAAAATCAAATGCTGGTCTTGTTTTAAAAATATGCATGAACAAATGAATTCCATCGAAACAACTTCAAAATAAAGGGAAAATCCGTAGATTTTATCCAGAGATTCACCAATGGAATCAAGCAGAATGAGAAAGTCAAAACCAAGCAAAACTCTTCCATTTGCAGAATCACGCATGCGTCAAATCTAAGGCCATCAAAAGCATATACGAAAATTTTAAGAAACACCCATTTCAAGATCAAGAAAGAAACAATCCACAACTTCATTGCCACCGGCAAAAACAGAAAATAAAATCCTTATGTTTAAGAGAGATTAGATTTTGGATTAATGGGAAACAAAGAGCATGCAAAATCAAACAAGCTCTTATACCCACCTTTTCAATCCAATCAATGGCCTCCTTTCTGGCCCCAAAATCCAAATCCCCACTTCTCAGCCTATTCACATAATCACCACAAGGCAAGTGATGGCATTCCTTTTCCACCATTTGAGCCAAACACTCATCACTCTGCAATGGCGGCAACAACCCATTATTTGGGTCACCAAAGTGCTGACTTTGACTATGGTTTCGATGATATCTATGATGTTGCCATGTGTCCTCCAAAATCTCCACCGAACCCCCATAATCGTTTTCGTCAAAAACACTGTTGTCTTCCGCACAGAGAAGGCTTGAAACACAATCAAAACTGGGTGCCATTGTAACAACTAAATAAAAATCCGATTTTTTGGGGACAAGGACGAACACCACCAACAACCCAGAAAAAAAAAATGCAACTTTCAGATTAAAGATTGAGTCTTTTAGACACAAGAAGTTGTGGGCATTAAAGATCTCTCGTCAAATGATGATTAAAAAGAACAAATGACAAATCTTTTAAGTAAGAACAAAATCACTATACACCCAAGTAGTCCTTTGTTTCGCTCTCTCTCTCTCTGTATATATGTATGTCTCTTTCTCTCTCCTCTTCTTGCTATTCCTCTTGACTGAAAAGACTGCTGCAAGAGAGGGCCTTATGAAGAAACTAATGCCTCTTTTTTAGGGTAAAAAGCAGAGAGAGAAAGTAGAGAGAGAGAGAGAGAGAGTGCGCGCGTGTGTTTGTGTGGGGTTAGGGGACAGAGGAATTGGAAGGGTTTGAGCGCCAAAGACATAGAAACCAAAGAACAGTGTTTGCGATTTTATGATCTTTGTAAGAGAGAGAGAGAAGGATCAACGGGAATGAAAGAAATTAATCAATTTTTTTGTCAAATTTTAAGATGATGAAATGTGTAAATTTTGTTATAGCCATTTCTCTCTTATGTAGATTATAACATCTTTAAATTATGTTAATTTTTCTCTTGTATATATAAATATTAAGGGAAAATATATGCAAAATGTTATCATGATTTATAGTATATACGAGAGAGAATCTATTTGTAGACATTGCGTGTGCTTTTCTTCTTTATTAATGAAAAACAAGATCACTGATTTAATAGTGAAAAATCTGCCAAGAAAAAGAAAAAGGAACATGGAGAGATATTGAAGGTTGAGAATGATTAATGAAATTCAAGTTTAGATACTTTCGTGTGTAAGAATTGAAGGATACGGATAGAGAGAGATATATTAATGACTTAAAATTGTTAATAGCATTCAATTATAGATGTTTTCGTGTGCAAGAATTGAAGGATGGTACATTGATCTATGAGAAACCTTTTTCCTTCTTTCCTTTTGAAACAAAATCCTCAATAAAATTCGATTAAAAAATCGAATCCTCGATGTGATTGAGCACGAGCGAAAAAAAAAATCAGTTTATTTAAACAATTCCTTTTTGAGTTTACGAAAATTAGGCAAAAGGAACGTTTTATACAGTCACCAAACCTATTCATTTATTAGAATTTGTAAACTTTCCTAAAAAACACAACTTCGATTTCCTAAGAAATTTATACACAATCATAATTAATTCAAAATCAAACTTTTTTTTTTCAATATTTTACATTTTCCTATTAAAAAACAAGTGATGAAAGAAAAAAATTTAACGCAAAGAGATAAAGGTATACATTGGATAGAATAATTCAATAAACTTTAATTGAACTAATTAAATTAGTTCATATTTTTAAACACAATCAGGTGTAACTGGAATCAAATCAATTAAATTCTTTTCTTTAATTGACTTAGATTTTGAATTTTTGCTTTCTAAAATGAACCAATCCCTTTATTACATGTATAGAATTTGATTTATTTTTCTTTTAACAAGAATTATATAAAACTTTTCAATAAAAATATAATAATGATTTTTTATAATGGGGGTTATATTTATTTGTTAGAACTAAACTAAGAGAAAATATTTTAAAAAATTATTTATTAGTTATATTTATTATCTATCAGTCTAAAGAAAATTATTTATCAAACTAGAATGAAAAAAAAAAAAAAAAACTACACTGCAGTCATTTTAAACAATTGCACTTTAAGAATTCTAGTTTACTTTCAAGTATTTGTTATTCCAAAAAATAAAAATAAAATATCAATAAATTAAAAAACCTATTTATTAATATCTTACATAAATACTTTTTAAATAAAATCAGTCTAATTAAAAAAATTATTTTATCACGACAATGAGCGCTATTAATAATTTTGTATTATATGTATAGAACTTAGAAGATATAGTTTAAATACAGTGTCATCAATATTATTAACGACATTCTTTAATTAAAATTAAGATTTTATTTTGAAAATCATTGTTTTTATCTCAACAAATAAAATGAATCATTATCAAAATAAAATATAAATTTAATTCAGAATATGTTTAGTAAATATAAAAAAAAACTAATTTGTTTTATTATGACGTTTATTTAACTATTAAAATGTAATAAATTCATCATATAAATTTATTATAATTTTTATTTTAAAATTTTAAAAAATAATAAAATATTTAATTTATTATCTTATACTAGATCAAACATAAAACAAAATAAAAATTTATTTTACTTTTATCTTATCTTACTCCTGTAAAACTCTCATATCTTATCTTCATCGAATCACTTTCTCCAATCACACCTTATTCAATGTGTACAATATTATTCGATAAGAAAACAGGTAAAACGATGAACGGTTAAATTGTTTTTACAAAACCTAAATAATAAATTAACGAAGAGAAATTCCAAACTTGACTGCGAAGGATAAGATAATTTTCATACTTAAAAATTAAGAGGACATCTTCTACCTTTTATATATAACTGTTAATATTATATTAAATATGAATAATAAATAATAAAAATTATTGATTTATTTTAAAAATATTAAAACAATTATAATCGTCAATTTAAAAAAATATAAGTATTCTTTTAAATTTATGGACCATAAAATAAATCCACAACTTTATAAATAAAAATATAAAAAGAGTCTAACAGCAGATAGACTTTGGGCATAAGCATTTATAACGTAGGGACTGAAATGGAGAGGGCAACCCTTGAGTCCCCATGTCTTGTTTCTCTCATACTGACGCGTGTCTTTCGCTGACATTTGCGTTTCGTTCCTTTCTCAAGATCTCTCTCTCACAAATTTAACTCAAAATATTATCAATGTTTTTCTATAAAAATTTTAATAAATTTTTACTTAATTATAATTCTTAGATTAATAATTAAAAGTTTTATTTATAATTGATAGAATTCCTTTTAAAAAAGGTACACTTTAATAACATTTCGTGTTCCAAAAAAAGATAATTTCATAACATTGTAAATATTTTCTTACGAAAGATATTTATAGTTTAAATATAAAAAAAAAATTGCATTGACATTCTTCGGATTCCTCGGCAGGTAAAAAAAATGACAGCAGGAATGTTTTGTCCTCATTCATTTTATAGACGAATTTAAGTTAGCAAAGGGAAAAACAAACGAGTTTTGTTGTTTTCCTAACAAATGAAAATATATATATATAAAAAAAAGGACCAGCAAGTCTTCTTCAATTGGTCCTTTCAATTAGTATTTGCAAATCTTGTACACATATATGTTCCTTGTAATGAGGAAAATAAAGCAGCGATTGGACCGTGTGATAAAGTGGGCAAGAAATTAACCATATTTTAATTTTGAAGATCAATTTTTTGGGCAAATTTATGCTTACCATCTGGTTTATTAATCTCATTGCCATAGCTGAAAAGCTACAGAATAAAATATAACTATTCATTGAGTCTACTAATATAAAGACCTACAGAAAATATATCGATTTTAAATCACTGTGTCCGTTTTATCTCTTCTAGTTTTTACTTGAAATTAAGATTTATTCAACTTATATTTTATAAATATTTTAATTTCTCTCAAACATTATTGATCAAATTTTTTCAATCCAGTCTTGCTTCCATTTGTATCAAATTAAAAACCAAGAGGGCATGCATTTTAATTCAAATACTTTTAAATAACTTTTATTTAATTTTTTCTTTAATTTTTTCTTCTATAATTAAAAACAAAAACAAAACCCTCATTGTTGACAATAAAAACATTTTTTTATCGTACTTTTTCTTAAGATATGTAATTGTTTCTATTATATAACCGTACTGATATCATACTATTATCTTTTTTATTTTTACTTAAATGTAAAAAAATAATAATAAAAATTGTGATGCATGAAAAAGTTGTGAGTAGTCCTTCACGTTTTTAAAAGGTTGTAGTACTTCTTATGTTAAGACACTTTATAAACTTAAAAAATATATTATTTTATTTATATTTAATAAATATAGTTGGTAAAAGTCTAAATTAGAACTGATAAAAATAAATTTTAATAGTGATATTAGTTGCAGTGATATCAAACAAAAATAAAATTATTAATTTATAATATTATTTAGAAAAAAATCATTAACTTTAAAATATTTTTATTATTTTATATAATTTAAATATATATATATATATATATTATAGAAATATTAGAAGTATAAAGAAAATAGAATAATATTTATAATGAGTTAAAAGAAATTTTATTTATTTTTATATTATTTTCTTCTCTTAAGATTTATTCACGAGCGCATGAACCAGGTCAATTTTATATTATATTAACTTTTTGTTTAACATATGAAAATAAACATTTGTTTTAATTTCTTAGTCATCTACTTTTATTTTAAATTTTCAAATTCGGAAATTTTCATTTTGTTAAATAAAATAAAAAAATTATCTATGCCAATGCTAGATTGAAATTCAAAACAATATATATATATATATATATATATATATATATATATATATATATGGTGCCATTATTCTTTAATTATGATAATAAAGAATAAATTTTTCATTTTTCATTACAATTATTGGAAATTAAAATTTATATAGTAGATAGAATTAGAAAAGAGAAAGCCTTATAATGAATTGCATATATTCTTTCATTTGGCTTAATATTTCATTTAATTAATTAATTAAAATATTAAATTAGTCACTAAAAAAATAATTCCATTCAATTTAATTCTTAAACAGTCTTTCGAGATTATAAATGTAAGATTTTAGTCTTTTGATCCATTTAAGTTACGATGTTCAGGAACTGTCATTGATAATTTTGTTAAGAGCTATATATATATATATTTATTTTGAGAAAATAATTATATTAAAAGTAAAATAAAATAAGTTAAATGTCTTTGAAGTCTTAAAAAATTCTATTTGGTAACATTATTATTAGAGATTGAATTTAGTTGACTAATTTATTTTCAAAACCAAATTAAGTATTCACTCATTAATTCCCTAGTTTTGATATACTATTACACTGTATACATATTTAATGATGGGGAATATTCTCTTAAGTAGGAGCCATTCTTATTTAATTTATCAGTTTTAGTAATAATA